GGTGAGTGCGGTCCCCGCTGCCCCCCCAGCCAGCGCCCGGGGGAGGCCGCGGCCCCGTGGGGGGAGCGGGGGAAGCGGCGGGTCCCGGAGCCTCCTAAACCAGCGACAAAACGACCGCGAGGGGATGGAGCGGGGGGACAGGGAGGCCTCGGCGGTCCTAGGCTCAGAAACGAGGGGAGCCGCAGGGATTCCTCSGGAATCCGGGGATTCCAGGGAAGCCGGTGAGCCTGAGGGTGCGCGGCCGAGCAGCATTAGGTGGATGGGTGCCGCAAAGCCGCTGCTGCCCGCGGGCTCACCCGGAGCAGGCCCGGCGCCGAGCTGGGCTTTTCTTGCAAGTTGTGGCGGGGTTAAGACATCAAGAGATTGATTTCGTGGTTAAAGGTGACTGAATGCGCGTAGGGTCCCTTCTGCTTCAGGCTGTATTCAGCAGTAAAGCAAGGCAGCATTAAGACACCCCAGCTGCCCTGCAGCTCACTGACTGGTGGCTGTTCTAAAAGGCTTCAATTTTATTTATTTCATTTATTTATTTATCTTCTTATGTAGCAAAGAGTCCTGCTGATGGTACWCCAAGAAGACCCGTCTTATCAGTCAGTGCGAGGAAGATTAAAGATAATGCGGCGGACTGGCACAATTTGATCATGAAGTGGGAGAGACTGAACGATGATGGATTTACTACAGCAAACAAAATCGTCAACATGAAGATCAGTGAGCAGTAAGTGTGCTGGTGGGACCTGCAAGGAAAGGCTGAGCAGAGGTTGCCTTTAGTGTGAAATTAGTCTATGTCCTTTACTAGAAGGCTTTTTTTCTTTTTTTTTTTTTTTTTTTTTTAAGAGGTAGGAAAGAATATGTCCGAATGGATAACCCAGTTCTTGGATCAGACTAAGCAGTTGTCCTTTTCAGTTACGTAAAATGTTTAGATTGAAATAAGATTTGAGTACCTCATAAAGATTAAAATAATCTCATGAGCTAATGATATTGGCAAGAARCAAGAAATGTAACGAAATGTAAAGTTAGGTATAAGGGATATTTGAAATACTTGCGTAACATACAGAGCTAGAGTCTAATCCTGTCATCTTTATTTACGTGAGTTCCCCTACTCTCCTGTGTATTTACTGTGAAGTCAATATTACCAGTTTCCACCAAGGTTAAGAGTTCAGCAGATTTCAAGTAAGAATCGATGAATGCCTTACGTAGACAAAAAGTTGTTACAGCAGTGAAGTTTTAAGAAAGCAGTCCTTTTGATACCATCCTCGGGAAAAGGATAAGCTATAACTGACAGAGTTCTGATGGACAAACTCTGTAATATTTTACTGTAGAAGTGTCAGATCTTGCTTTTCCTTTATCAACTTTTACAGCTTCTATGGGAAAGTCGTTAAGACWGGGCACAATACGTGCCAGCACCTTCCCCGCTCTCAGCTCCCAGCYGGGTATCTGTGTTTAAACTGTCAGCAAAGGTGCATTTCTGGGGAGGCACCTGCTGCCTGGACATGCGTTGCACCTTGTCACTGTGAGTAGCAGGAACTGTGACACAGAGTAATCCAGTATTCCTCTGGAGGTTGTGGCACCCATCTGGTGGCTCTCTCCTTGCCAGATAGGTCACTTACCTACTACTATATACAAATTCTCTTGCATAGCTTGTGTGAGAGAGATTGTGCAGGTTAAGATGACATGGATTTTAAATCTCTGCATTTCAGTGAACCTGTATGCAGGAATTGGAACTGTCTTATGCTTCTGTTTTAGATTTCAAGAAAATAAATTGGAGATAGCCTGTGATAACAGTACCTCAGAGCTTGAAAAGCCACCTGCAAAATACAACGAAGAGCTGGATAGTTGCTGTGCAGAATTACTTCAGACCTTTAAGAATATGGTAATTTTCATTTTGTGATTGAGCTGTATTTTCCAAGTGTGACTTAAACCAATGACACTGAATATTGTAAACAGAAAAGTAGTATTTTTAATCATAGTTCTTTGGCTTCCAACCTGAATGATTGTAAGTCCAGTGTGCTCTGTTTATTTGCTCTATTGGTAAATCTGAAAGTTGGTTTTACATCTCCTGAGCATAGCTTATTCCTTCGATTACACTGTGATCTATAATGTGTTTTTCTGAAAGAGAGTCCTGCAAAAATCCATTCAAAAATTGCAGCTGTTGTCTTTTTCTCATCCTGTATAATTCCTCCATTTAAAACAAAACAAATTAAAGCACAGAACAATGTTTTATCTACTGTGATATTCACTGCAGTTAACTTTGATCAAACATCATGCAGTTCCATTTTCAGTCTGCCTAGCTGGACTTTTCATGCCATAGCTTTCACTTCTCTAACAGTACAAGAACAAAATGAACAAAAAAACCAAAATTATTACCCACCTTCTTACTAGATACATTGTCAGAAATTAACATTGCCTGTCAGTTTGAAATAAACTCTGATAGCGAAGATACTGTCTTCAAGCTGTTTTGTTTTTCCAGATATTAAGCCCCTTAGGTGACACGCAGAATAACACAAAGGAAGTGGACAGAGTGACCTCCTTTCCTCAGCAAGCTGCTAAAAGAGCCTAGACATATTCTCATAGACTGAGCTGCTTTTCACAGCTGCAGCTGATCTTTAGAAATGAGCCTTAAGTCCCATTGGCATGGCAGCATTAAGAAGCATGTGCTTACAGGGCTTGTGTTGCAGCTGTTCTTTCATATAAAGTTTGATGTTTTTCTCCAGTATTAAATTGTTGTAGGAAAAACCCAGAGAGGGAAAAAACAATGAGTGAGAACTTTAACATATTTCTACATGGGGAAATGAATATGCCAAATCAGAGTCAGTAAGTCCTATCTGTAGTGTTTGGAAATTTAGAGTRTCTGATGTTAAATCTGTATATATACATCCTGTGGTTGAAACTATCAGGTGAGAAATGTTATGTCTAAATAGAGTCTTCAGAAATTATGTGTTTAAAAAAATGTTTAAGATATAATGTTCCTGAAGTGCTGATTAACATCTTTGTCATTATCAGACAAAAATACAACTCAAAATGGAAAAGCTGTGTTCAACTACTAAAGGAATCTGTGACTTGGAAGCATTCCACCACAGAGCTGGGAAATGTGCAGCACCCTTGTTTCACACGTGGCCCACCCCGTACTTCTGTAAGTAAAATGTTGATCAGCTTGGCTAAAGGCACCACGTACCTCAGGAAGACTGAAAAATAAACCCCTTTGTCTGCATAAAACCCCTRTGTTTGTCTGTGGGGGAGGGATAAATAAATGAATCCTTGTGTTTTATGAGGAACTAATTAATAAACACATGAGTGTGGCACTTGCCTAGGGTTGCTGCTGCCTTGTGGATTGTTGGGCATTGTCTGACATTCAGCATTTACAGATGTAGTTATAAAGCCTGAGCCAATTAAAATTAAARCTGTCAGCAACTTGCAGTGTCCACAATGAACCAGCCGTGTCTTTTGTAAAGAGAGACATACTTGCAACGTGATAGGATTAAGCTGTAGTCTATGCATTACGTTGTTACTTGACACTGAAATTATACCCTTGCCTGCAAAGAGCAAGCTGTACCTCAGGTAATTGCCAAAGGAAAATACTTCTGATTGCCATGTCAGCCAAGCAAAGAAATCTTCAGTTACGGTCTGCTGTTAGGATTCATTTGATGGCAAGAAACAGGCTCTTTTGTTCCTCCAGAAATTTAAGAACGACATAAAGTTGCCTGATTTCCAGTCTGTCTGCCTGTGGGTCTGTGTTACTGCAGTTTTAAAGCCAGTTGAATTCAAGAGAGGCCCGACCTTGTGCAGAGCAACCAGAGCCCTGGTGAAGTGGAACCCATGCCTTCCTGCAGCCCTGTTCCTTACTTCACTACCACAAGTTAGCAGCAATCGTGTGCATTGATTTCTGCCACCTTAAAAGAGACCGTGACAAACACAAACAAGTATCCAAACAGCCATTGGGACTGAGTCATTTAGTGATGCTCTGTACTCCTTGGATGACTAATTCACCCTAAAAATAGTAATGACTCTTTCTAAGTAAGAAAAACAAGATCAATCTGTCATTAAAGATAATTTGTTTGGTTTTATTTTGGAAATTCAGATAATTAGAGATCATTATAAAAATATATTTAAAAGCTCCTACCAGAATTACTCATAAAGCTAGTAACAAAATAGCTTTTTGTATTAGGCAGTTCAGTTTTGATCTGCTGTTTTATTTTTACCATTATTCTTCACTCTTGGTATCGTTTACTTGACTTGCATGATCAGTAGATTTTGCATTCCTAAAGTACATGGCAGCATGTGACGAAAACCTTACATTAGCTAAAATCAGTGTCTCTAAAATACTTTTTTTTTTTCAAAATAGCTTTACAAATTTTGAAGACCAAATTTCAGTTATTTAAAAGAACGGCTGTAACTGTAATTGTTAATTTTACAGCAGATTTTGAGACTCAATACCACTGCTTATTTTAGAATTAAAAGAGGGCTTATCTCAAAAACAGAAGTATTTAAAATATATATAAAAAATGAGGGAAATATTTAGTGTTTTATATTTCAGTCTGCAGGATGTGTGAGTTTAAAAAAATTGTGGAAGACCTTGTATATCAAGAGTTTTTTAATGCTAATAAAGCATAAATATAAATTAACTTTTAGGGAACTGCTGATCTGTTAGGATTAATGTTTGTTTTTTTGAATCCATTTTAGATGAGGTCTCTCTGAAGCTCTCTGAAATGTACAAGGAGGAGCTACAACTCAAGCAAATAATTGTACAAGATATTGCTCATTCTGCTGACCAGGACCTGTTGATGGTCTATTTATCATCGTGGTTATACCAGCCTTACATTGAGAACAGCAGCAAACTGCTCCTAGAAGCCATGCTGCTGGAAACGGGACATAGGCAGTGCTAGGACTGCAAACGGTGCTCGGCTGTTTCTGAAGACAYGGCAAGTTTGCAAGGCTCACCAAGTATGCTGCATTTTTGTAAAAAATATTAAAAATACTTTTCTCCATTTGTATTTATTATATTGTCCAGGCAATATTTTTTTTTCCTTCTGCATGGACAATCTTTTCAGTTTGCTTTATCCATCTAAAGTTTGTTTCGCTGTGATGCAGCAGTGATAAGAAAGCTCTGGGTTCTACAGGTTTACTCTGCAGCTTCATGATCAGCTGAGAAGAGGACATAGATTTTTGAGGAAAACACATCCAAATGCTCGATAGTGTTTCCATCTTAACGAGGGCAGAATAGTACAGCAGTTCTTCAGCAGCTGACAGCTCAAATCTAAATGTTTGCTTTTAAATAGTGTGTGGATGGGATATAATTTTTCCCATGATTTTAAGTGATGAACACTTCTCTGCTTTGCACAGCTTGTCATCTAAAGGAGAAGTATCTGTCGTGCAGTTTGTAGGAATGTCATTTGATGATGTTACTGATATTGGGGTACATGGTCTGAGAAGYTGCTGCAGACAGAAGTGTAAACCCTGGTTGAGCTTGATTATACCATCATGCCTGAGGAGGGATCCCAGCCTGAACTAATACATTGGGCTAGTTTAGCACAAGGCACGAGGCCACAACCATTATATGAAAAGGCTTTAGCTCTTGTAACCCTTATAACCTTAGAGATATTTCATGAAAGCTTCTATTGAATAAAAAAGCCCCGTTTCCACCATGTCCTAAGGCAGTATTGTTTGTTTCTTATAGAGCTCAGTTAGCCTTTCCTTCGATAACTCTTGCACGTGAGGAAAAAATACTCAACATCAGCATCACCTCTGTATTTTGGCTCACAAGTAACATAAAAATTCATGCTCTTCTTTTTGTTGCTACTGTTCAAGTATGAGGCTCTGTCCTATATAGCAAGTGTTTAGGAGAAGCTGGACAAAGGAAACGCTGAACAGAATGGAATTCACTACCCTTACTTGCTTTCTCTGCCAAAGATGTGATAATTACTGTAGCCTACCACCCTGTCAGAGAAGGGCAATGTGGAGAAGCTGCTACCATTACCAAGCCTGTAATAACTGTTAGCTCATCTTGCAAATTAGTGCTTTTCAGAGAAGTGTATTACAAGTTGGAAACTACCCAGCTAAGCATTTGGGCAGTTTAGTTAAATYCCTAGTGCACAATGAATTTAGCCCTTCAGCTTAGTTCATTATGCTTAATAATCCAAATTCCTGCCACTCACCAGTGCTGGCTGCCTCTGTGACCCGTGAGCGCAAACRCATGGTGTCATTGCTTCCGGTCGCCCCTCTTGCACAATCGTGTAGCTCTCCGAAGTGCTGTTGACTCCTTCCTGTGCCCTGACCAATGTTTACTCTTTGTTGAGTCTTGCTGAAAAAAAAGAACATTTCACCTGAAAGACGCAYGCACGAAATGGCGACAGTGGCTGGGGTTTGACTTTAGAAAAATCTCATTAAGAGACAAGAGCTGTGGAGCAGCTGGGTCACCCAACTGGTTGKAGTTGCCTGCAATAGCAGAGCAGAGACATGAAGTGGAGGAGAGTCCTCTTGGTCAGCAAAGAGGTGGTTCCAGGCAGCTTGACAGTGTTCTCTTCTTAGCTCAAATTTCTAGTGTTTAAGAAGAAATGCTACTGTAGCCCCAGCACTAAAACAATCGGCGATTACTACAGTGAATAAATGTGTTACTTTTTGTAATGTTTCAGTGCAGAAATTGCATCTAGTTTTAACAGTAGCCCCATCCCAGACCCTTGTCACTATGGAAACACCTGCACACATGACAAGGATTTTGCAAGGGAAGRTCGCTTCCCTTAAGGAATTCTTCTGTAAGAAGAAAGTAGGTGTTTCAGGTTTGCCAGCATGTGCAAGTCAATAGGAGAGGCAGACTTGAAACAAATTCTCATTTCCTACACAGGTGGAAWTTGTGGCTCATTTTTATTTCTTAAGAGGAAATAAGCTCTTCAGCAAGGAGCCTTCACCTTTGCAAAGCTCCCTGCTCCCTGACAGCAGCAGGACAGAGGAGAATTATGGTGAAGGCATAATTGCACAGAGGCTGTTTTGTCATATGTCACCTTCATAGTTGCAGCTCTCAGATCTAGACAGCTCGTACAAAAAGCGTAATAGGAAACAATTGTTCACTGTAATCAAGGACTACGACAGACTCTGCCTGGTACCTTCATGTGTAATGGATGTCTCTGCCCTCTAACCATTGCCACTTATCCCTACCGCCTCAGCCCCTCCCAAAAAAGACAACAACTCACTAAAATATGACAGTAGCTTTCAGGCCCATGTGAAAAACTGCAATATKCCGGCTAATCATAAATTAATCTTCTGTTCAGACGACCTGAAGAAAAAAAAAAAAAAAAACCTTAGTGATATTATAGTGATTGTTTCACCTCTAAGCTGTCTCATCTCTCTCTGGTTCACATTCAGTTGTACAGTCAACATTTCCACAGCAACCAGGCCCTGAAAAGAGAAAATCAATGTTTACACTTAATTGGAGAAGCTCTCCTGCATCAACAGTCTCAACAGCCTCATACATATTTAGTGATGGACAACAGACACCAAGTCCGTTACCAGTTTGCAATAATATTTTTCTCTTGAACTCTTGGTAGATAAGACTAGTAGCCACTTAATGTCATTCTCCAGTGGGGAGCAGAGAAGAAAGAGGAAAGTAGCAGCTATGAGGAAGCGTCCACAAAAACACAGTAGATGCTTAGTCTGTTCTTATCTAAAAGCAAAAACTAGAGAGCTTAGTTAGGCTGCCCCCMTATTCCTAGGAGACACAAGTGGCAAGTGCATTTTAAAACCATACATTTTTCCAGGCAGATTTATGTGCATCATGCTAATGAATATTCAAGATAGCTTTAACAAAAACTGTAATAAAGCCAAAGAGTTTTTAGTATCTCAGTGGAACAGGAAACACATTTTTAATATAGCTTTTATTTTACCCATACACAGCTTGCCAGCACATCACTGCCAAAAAGCAGTACAGTTTACTGCATTTTGGATGGCTAACGAGAAAAGGGACTATGTAACAAAAGGATATAGTGCAACAGTTTTGAGGTTGACAGATTTCCATCTTCCCCGACCCCCAACACATAGAAAAGCAAATAGAATCTTGTTATGTCTATAATTTTTGGTTGCAATGCTGCTAAATTTATATAAACATAAGTTATAAAAAGTACAGGGCATAGAAACAATTTACAAATAAGTTAAATTTCAATTATTTCAGTATTCACATTAGAAAAATATACATTTTATATAGCCAGCCTTTTTCCAGAGGAAAGCATACACAGTTTACTAATTTATGGCTCCAATTCACTTTGAGAGATCAGAATTTCTTCACTTTGGCTGTGTGCTTCTATTGCCAGTAGTGCTTCCACAGTTTCCAAAGGTATCCCATGAGGTGTGTGAATGTGCATCGTAGTCCCATTAGAATCAGTCACAATAACAATGTCTTCTGCCTGAGACAAAACAGCAGGATCTGGGTGCGGTAATATAAGTCCGTCTGTGGTTTGAATAAAAATCTGTTCATGTCCCTGAGACAAAAAATCATGGCTCTCATCAGTGATCTCAAAAGCTACAGTTTCACCTACAGTAACTGCTGCGTTCTCCAGCTCCYGGGCTTCCCCTGGCCCACAGGGGAATTCACACACGTTTTCACCAGGGCTTTCACAGCTCACGCGAGCAGACGAGGAGGCCTCCTGGACAGGCGCCCGAGCACTGTGGCTTATTGGCACTACATTTGTTGCAAAGACTTTTTCCAGTTGCTGCATCTCAGTGATACCAGCACCGTGAAGCGGTTCGGGCTGTTCTTTAATTGCCAAGCTGTGGTTTTCTTCTTGCAGCTGCTGGTACCTGCTGTTCTCCTCTCCCCCTGGCGCGCCAGCACTCTGCGTGCCCACTGCACCCCGCGCTGCGGAGCTGCCGTGGTGGGGAGCTGCCAGCCCACGTGCCGGGAACTTGTGATCCTCGCTCGCAAGATGGGCCTGAGCAGCCCCGGGGGAGCCGGGCGCCTGTGCGGGCGGCACCGCCTCGCTGCTCAGCACGGACACGGCTCCCGCGGCACCSGCTCCCCGGACAGCCAGCGGCTGGGAACGCTCCTCGCTCGCTGCCAGCATCYGAGCGAAGGTGCCGGGAGGTTCCTCACGGACTCCAGCTTCTGTGTCAACAGGGGAGTTATGCTCCTCTGCTGTGGGTAATGTGCTTCCAGTGGAGCAGCAGAGGAGCTCTCTCACTTCTGAGAGCAAGATTTCCCCATTTAAGGGACGAAAACCTAAAAAAGGGAAAAAATACCATTTTGTTGGACCATCTACTACTGCAAGTCCAAAAAAGTAACTTTTCCTGGAGGAAAAAAATAAACTGCTTCTGTCTTTTCCTCCCCCAAAATTAGTAAACTTGAAGTGTCTTAAAGTGTCACAGTAGTTCCCGTAAGAGGAATGGTATAAAAATCCTTTTAGTATTTTAGCTAGTGAAACGTGATGGAATATCTCCATACCAACGGACTTTACATTAGAAACAGCATTTTTCTGGGAATTCTGAAGATAACCTGTGCCAAAACTGAATTATCTCCCTCTGGCACATGACCAATAACACTAAAAAACAAGGAATGTGCCACAGACAAGGTTGCCAGCTGCTTATCCATGTTACCCCTAGTAAATTGACAGACACATTCAAACATAAAATTTCCGCTGATATTCAAGCTCATCTGGGACTCTAACATTATCAAGTARCAACCTATCTAGTGAGCTGTGCTAAGAGCCCCAAAACACTTGTCATTCAGCCTGTGACAGGAGAGGTAAAACACTAGATGTTTAATYGAGTGTCCTTTAGCAGTCATTGGACACGGACTAAGGGCTCTCACACACCCAGCAGGTAGTTAAACAGTAACCTCGAGTGCAGTAGGACACGTTGCTCCAATTCCTGACCATTAGAAGGAACAAGTACATTTTGTTATGAGAGAGATCACTGCATAACAAAGGAGATGGGGCAACTCAGAAGAACCTGTAAGTTCTCTGTACTATAGAGTAGCAAAAGGCCTACCAGCAGGTGCAAATGAGATATAAATAATTAAAAACAAAATCACAGCCCTGACAAAAATCCTAGTATGACAAGAAATAAGTTTGATCATGCAAAGAAAGAAAGAAATCTTCAGAGAAAAAGAAAAAAAAACCTTAAGAAAAAAGCAACTTCAGAGAAAGAGACACAAAAGGCACAAGCAAAGCAGCTTATAGCAAGAGCAGAGCAAGATTTTAGCAAGAGCGTGGCAATGGTAGGTGTCCCTAGAGAAGGGACTTTCACAACCCTGCTGTGATGCCTGTTGTGATACAGCRACACTTTCAAATAAAAGACTAGTGGAGTTTGGGGAGCTGACAGCGGGGACTCAGCTTCATTTGCTCACTAATCCACTGTTACCTCAGAGGTAGCAGGGGGAAATAGAGAGGCAGAAGGGGAAGGGAAGTGAAGGACATGCATCCAGGCAAGACTGTCATGCAAAAGGACACCCCAGTTCCCATCTGCAGCTTCCCCGGCTCCCATGGGATACAGCATCGCCCCTGCCAGCTCCTGCTTTCCCCAGCGGCCGTAAAGCCCTGTGGGCTCTGCTGGTGTCAAGGGCCACCTCCTCTTGGCCGCTCCTCCRGCTGCTCACAGGGAGGCCAGGCGCTGCCCTGGGTGCGGGCAGGTCATGGTCAGCAGGGCAGGACTGTCACCCCAACACGCCGGCAGTATCAGSAGCTGAAGCATCGTGTGTTTTAAACCGCTACAGCCCTTGTGCTAGAGCATCAGCACCTCCCCCCTCACCCAGGAGGCTTCTTCCATTTAAACAGGACCTTTAGGAAGGACCTGGCAAGCAAGTTGAGAAATTAAAACCTTAAGACAAAAACCACAGTAGCTTGAAGAACACAGGAATTTGTTCAGCTCCTCCATGAACAGAAGAGAATGGGTAAATCTGAAGAGGTTACCATCTTTTTCAAACAGTGTACACAAATTCCCACTCTTTGCCTTCACTTCATCTTGACTGGCATAAGCATTATTCATATTCTCCATTACGTCTTCTACCTTGGTCCTTTTGGCTGATGGCAACAGTTCCTCCCCTGAGCTCTGTCAATACAAGAGATAATTAACTGGCTGCCACCCAGAGCAACGGGCAATATTGGAAGAGATCACAGGCAAACTGTGGGAACTTGCAACCTCCCCAGAAAGGGCATTTGCTCTAAGGGTCTTCCCTAAAGGGCAGAGGTTTAACACAGCCACCAAACTTCTCCAAAATTCCACTTATTACTTTTGATACCTCACTGAAACAACCCACCCTTGCTTCAAGGTCAAAAYGCCTCAGTGAGACACTGGAATTAGCTGAAAGAAGTGGTACCTGCTACAAGCTCTCTCTTCAGCTTCAATAAAGCGCTATGAACAGCTCATCCAGCCCCTTTCAGGTAAGAAGTGAAAACTGGTCAGCTCGCAAATATAAATGGGGGCAGAAAAGGGAAAATTGCTAGTCTTATGTCTGCTCCACTGGGGACAATTCTGAGCTAAATAAATATAGTTGATGGAAAGGACCAAAGAGAAGGGACTCTCAAGAAACAGACTGCTCCTTTCTACAGCTGCGGACAGACCAAAAGGGGCTGGTTAGAAGGAAAGCAGTGGTTTCCATGCACCTCTGACAACCACCAAATTAGTAGAGCAACTACTTCAGCACCTGAACCTGCTGCACATGAGCCCATTTACTCCATCACAAATTATTAAAAATTAAAGTTCAATCTTATGAGGGTTGACGGGGGCATGGAGGATGGAAGGGGCATTTACTAGTGTCAACCCAAACTTTCTTGTCTGTATCATGACATCCTGACAAACTGTTGAAATGTCTTCCCCAAACACGACTTCAGCCTGTTAGTTAAGATGCTCTGCTATGGTACCAGAGTGCAGAAAAGTTCTATAGGCATTTACAAACTGAACACCATGAAARCCTTAACTATAATACAAGTCATATAATAGTAGTGTGGCATTTCAAGAATTATTAATTTAACAAGCTTAAATAGGTCTTGGTTTCATTTTTAAGTTTTCACAAACATATTCCATACCTCAGCTAACCGTTTTTGTCCCAGTATCTCCACAGGCACTTGTTCACTAACCATTTTAATTGTATGTTGTGAACAAGAGTCTACACCTTGCATCTTTTGTCCTCCAGTGAGTATTTCTGTAAGTCCTAGTGATTCAGCAACCTTTAAAAACAGTTACAGGAAAAAGAAGTTAGCCTTTCCAAMCTGAACACATAAATACTGAAATACTGATCCATTCTCTTGAAAATTAATTAGAAAAATAATTTTCGTATTAATAGAACACAGCATTCACTTGAAGGTGAAAATTAAATGGCAAATTGGTAATAATCAGGAGTACCATGGTTATATATTGAATCCAGAATCAGTTACTAAGAGCAGTGTTTCRTGAAGAATACCATCAAGGCTCTCTATTATTTACAAACATTTCAATCTTGCTGTTTCTCTTAGAGGCCAAAAATTCTTTCCCAAATCCTTTTCCTCCATTCCAATCCTTATGCAGTATGCTACTATATGGCTTCCAAAGTTTCTTTTTTTAAAGAACATAACTGTATATTAAGAAGCACATTAATGCTGGAGAGAAGAAAACAACRTAGCTTCCATTTTAGCACTACCAATACTGACAGCATCCCTTTAACTGATGCAAATTCTGCTCTCTAAAGGAAGAATCAGCATTGGTCAATGACAGAAGAGTCAAATGAACATGCAGCAATTCTAGAAAGATTTTAGTACATCAATGAATGTCATTATTCTGGAAAATAAACAGCAACCACTAACAGTCCACACAGGACTTCATTTTCMACCCTACTGTTATCAGAACTAGAATCTTATTGCTGCCTATGCTACTCTGAGTTTTCCAGGATGTTCTCTTCTCATAGCAGCTGCAGATATGTATGGGTGCTAGTTCACAGCAGCATGCAGATGTTGCAAGCTCAGTGCAAAAATGCTTTAATGAGCATGCAGCTTAGAAAGCTCTTGGAAGTAATATGCAAAACTGTTATTCACTACTGGAAACGGAGAAGGGAAAATGAAGATGTTATTTTACAAGATTTTATTCCAAGCAAGAGGAACAAAGACCAAATAAAGGATAAACAAATCCATATCAAAAACAGAACAAAACTAACACCAGCCCCAAGTGTCTCTCTACCCACAGCTAAACCAACAGTAAATCTGGAAATAACAGATTGCATCTTTATAATTAAGGCATTCATTACACTTCATATTTGTCAGTATGACTATGAACTGCACAGATGCATTCCATTTGTCCCCATTTTACTCTAGCAATACTTACCCCCTTTAAATCAAGGCCATTTGTTTTAGATATAGACAGTATCCTCCTAATCAAATATTARGGCATACTTCTACTAAGAGTTAATGCTAAGCTCACCTTACAGTAAAGTGCAGATTCGTACTACTCTAGATCTGCAGGCATATACCAGCAGTGAACACTGATGGAATGGATACACACATAATATACATATAATTTTTTTGATTGTGTGTTCTGCTGTAAGCTAGAATTCTACCTTTATTACAGATTTCTTTTTTCATGATTTCTTGCTGTACTCTTTACAGTTATCTATTTTTTTTTGATCAAGAAAGATGCTTTGTTCAAATAATTTGACCTTCAAGAAAAAGCTTGTCATTCATCATTCATTTAGCATTCTCTGACAGAAAACTAAAGAAGTAAAATACTTAAAACAGACAAAATCCCCCTGGAAAATCACAGTTTCAARTAGAATGCCTAGTTACCTTCAGATCTTTTATTTCAACAGGCTCCTGGCAACTCAACAAATCAGAATTACTAAGGTAATCATAGGCCATTTTCTTTACCATATTATGCAACTCTTCAAATTCTCTATACACGTCTGGGAAGTAAGCTTTGGCTGGATGCCCTTTTTCAACCTAAAAACAAGCAAAAAAGATCTGTTTTTTTACCATATTTTAAGATTAAATTTAAATCTGTCAATTTGTTTTTCTCTACATTTTAATATAACAACAATCAAGTCAAAAGAATATGGAATCTTCAAAAATATCAGTGAACAAGGCAAAAAACAAGCAAGACTGTGGTCAAAAGATCAGCTCTTTGTCTATAGAAAACAGAAGTGATGTCTAAAACACATTACATCTTCACAGTTCCAGGTCAGGAAACTGAGATTCTTCTCTAAAGCAGTCTTTGCTATGCGTAGTAATAGCAGTCTCCTTAAAATAATTAAATATTTTTATATTAGGAAAAAAAATCTCACCTTCATCAACAGGAATTCATATACTGTTACAAGCTTTGTAAGACGTGGGAGAGCCAGCTCCATTAAGTCTTCATTATCACATTGTTGTATTAGCTGTCAAAAAAAATGAGTTTATCAGAGTAGATAGGATGAAAGGTTATTCATCCCATGTCCCCAACATAAGATGTCACTACTTTTCAATCAGATGCAAATGCATCTTATAGAAACATCAGATGGATAGTTTCCATCAGGGTGACTTCCTTCTATATTTTAAACAGACAACATGTAGCAGACTACTAGTTCCATAAAGCAGTTGCTGCTAAAAATTCAAGCTAGAAATAAATTTGCTTGTTTCAGACTATATGTTTAAACAGCTTTGAAAATCAAGGTAAGTGTGCCACTGAAAGAGAAGGTAAAAAATAATAAAAAAAAAACTCAACCACAGTTTATAATCCACATTTACAGACAGTACTCAGTACTACAAATTACTGCATACTCATATCAAAAGAAGAGCAATAATAATAAATACAGTAGCTATAAAAATTTCTGTTACATAGTGAAGAACAGGGCGAAGAGGGGAGCAGTCCTGTTAACTGCATAGATTTTTAACTCGTACTCCATCCTCTGCATGAAACTCCACTGTTTTTTTCTAAAGAATATAACATTGCACAACAGGAGTTGTGCAATATTTCTACTGTGTTGGAATAGATAGTAATACCTAGTAATTATTATTTTCCAGAAACACAATAGCTAAGAATACACCCAACTGCCAGAAGACCMTTTCTAGGCCAAGATAACATTTCTATTCTGTTTTCTGTTCTGGCAGAAGTACTTTTTCCGTAAACCTGATTCACCATTTTCTTCTTGCATAATATCTGAGAGTATCATTTTGTCAGCTACCGATCAAGTCGCAAAGCGATCTTTCTGAAAATGCATCCTTGAAAATAAGTTGTCAAAAATAAAAGGGTGGAGGGGGTATCTACTTCGGAAGTAATTACAGAAGAGCGCCATACCTCTTTCAACTTAGCTTTCCTTCTGAATACGCTGTGCTCTGCTGACGCACTACTGAGGGACTTTGAGGGTGACTGAGCAGGTCTGCTGAGCCTTCCAGAACGCCTGGATCTCCCACCCATCCTTGGTCGACCTCTTCTCTTGGGCCGCCTGGGTCTTCCAGGTCCTTTTGGTGTTACAGGTGCCCGGTGTCCTGAATGGCTCTCCTTTGGCTGCTCTGCCAACAAGCATTTGCCTTCTGCAGACTTGCAAGTCTTAATTAAAGGAAAAAGAAAAAAATGGTTATTCACCGTTTAACACAATGTTTTGAGGAAGGTAGAGTTTTATAATGGACATCTTTATCTGCAGAGATGGATAATATGCATAACTAGAAATTGCTGGGGAGTAAATCCAACACACTAACACAGCTACTTCTGCAAGATATGCATGCCATTATTTGTAGAGTTAGTCTCTTTGATCCACAGAATCATATGAAATTCAGAGATTAAGGGAATATGATTAAAGACTTACTTGCGTTAAATATATTTAATATTTTTGAAGTAAAATATGTCCTCGCTGAACAAAGAGGTTACAGAAGTAAGTCTTAGCAGTACATCACGCCAGTTAAAGACAGGTTGGAGTTTCATAGTTACCACATCAAAGCAAGAAGATTCTGTATGAACTAAGAACATGTCACACTTAGTGACATGTCAAGCTTAGTAACTAAAACTCAAATGTTTTTTTCCCCCAGTTTCCAGCTGTTTAAAAATCATCTTCCTCAGGCGTATAGCTAAGAAATAGCTTCTGTAATAAGACCACAAGTATATTTTCTATTTTTAAAATTATTTTGACCTCAGTGCAACTAAAGAAGCTATATAATAAAAAACAAATGTTGATTGATCAAAGCAGTGATCTTTTTTACTGAATGCCTCTTTTCTTCCCTACCAAGCTAGAATTTCTAAGCATGACCTAGATCTTTTTTAAAGAGATGACAGGTTACAACAGCACTCAAGCAGTTCAAGCTTCTTTTCATAATCAGTGTATCTTGATTCTAACRTTCCCTAGCTACCCACTATTCTATTGAGCAGGAATACAGAGATTAAATGATCACTTTTAATTACGACATAAGGCCATGCTGAGRACAGGGGTCTTCTCTGCTTTCCTATCTATCAGTTTTAATAAGGCCATTTTTTTGTGATTTTCTTTAAAAAAAAAAAAATTACTTAGCCAAAAGCTGTATCCAAATAAATGAGTTAACAAGACTGCAAGTTCATAAAACCTGAATGGATACTACTGAGCAGTGYAAGTCTACAAAATTTGCATAGAAATATATGCAGCACCAAATGGACATGCTTTTATGTCCCTACCTTCAGTCTTTTCAAAAATATTTAACACTGTCAGAAGGGATTAAGATGAGCGAGCACAGACACTGCCATAAAGCTGCCATTCTAGCTTCTTTAGTACTGTCAGGTTTTCTGTGCAACATCCTTTACCTGTTCTCCAGTCTGTGAGGCAACCACTTCTTCCAAGCCGACAGCTAGCGCATTTTCATTATTTAAAATGACAGCAGCAGAATCCAAGTGTGCCGGACTTCTCGTTTCCTCTCCTGTCCCACAAGCACTGTCCACAAATATACTTCCATTAGCTTTATTTAAAGGTATTTCTTGAGGTGAAGACTCCTGCTGTCCATGACCTGGATTAAGTTTATAATGTCTTGCTAATCCTCCTTTTCCTATATAGGATTTTTCGCAAGTCTGACATTTAAACATTTTGGGTTTTAGATTATAATTTGAAGAACTGAATAACGCATCCTTTCCCTTCACCTTCCCTTCTTCATCATCTTCAATGCTCAGCTCAGAGTAGTCATCAGARTCAGACTGATGACCATCAGCCAAAYCCTCCATTTTAATGAATTTATAATCTTTAGCTTTATATTTTGGAGGCCGTGAAATCCGTCCAGAACGAGTTTTCACTTTCAAAGATTTTTTTAGCTTATCAGCTTTTTGGTTTTTTTCGAGGCAAGATACCAGAGTATTTGTTGAATTGGCTGCAACCACGGTAATATTTGGAGGCCTTGCAGCTGATACTGTGGCACTTGTAGTTCTCTGTCCATTTAGCATCTTACGCTTGGGGATCTTGTTCACAGTCGCCGATCCGTGAGGTGGTAAAGGTCTCTGCATAGGCAACTGAACTGCAGACTCAGAGTGGCTATGGAGGAAAAGTTGCTCTTCAGTCCCTGTTACTGGCTGTATCCTAATTATCTGCGGATTAACACCACTAAGTCCAGATACACTGGAATTTCTACCAACCGACTGACTGAGCGCTATAGTTTTAGACTGGGCTGGTGCCAATGATGGCATCGGCCTTTCGGCTTCTGTCATCTGTCCTGGCGGAGCTTGGACACAAACACGTCTGAACTGCTGTTAGGAGAAAAAACGAAAACAGAAAAAAAAAAAAAAAAAAAAAAAAGAGCAGAGTTGAGATTACAAAAGCACAGTATTTATTACATAAAACACAATATTTATTAAGACTGTATATACATGGCCTTAAAGCATAGCATGACAAAACCAGCACATTTATTATCAAGTTCTCCACTGTACTAATGCCAAAGCACAAGCTCCCTTCCTTCAAGCTATGAGGTTCCCTGAATATTTACAGATGCGACTGCTGCTCAACTAGAGCTTTCAGGCCTGGTCTTAGGCCACGTTACAGCTCTGTCCCCTGCAAACAGGGACGGCCTAAGCTGATTCACACCCTCAGCTCAACCCAAGGGAACCGCAGCTGCTTAAGTGATGCAGCAAAYATCGGATCAAGGACAACTCGTAACAAGTGCACAACTCAAGAAAACTTGGAGATGAAACRCAGTACAAGACTTCTCTTCCTCGCCATCTCTTATGCAGTCTKACATATGTAAGGATATGGGCCTATCCTCATACGAACTGCCACCTCTGMTCAAGACAACCACTGCACAAAAAAACTCGACTCGGAGCCCCGGGAACTTTTATGAGAGGGGCTGCGCTATCCACGCGGGCACCATCAGTTAATCGCTGCAGAACAGCCCTGCTAAAGGGCGATGAGCGGCTTGTTGAGCCCCGCTGAAACACGGCTGCAGTGGACACMGTCTCTACCAAAACGCGCCTGTTTTACCCCACGCTAGGAGCTCCCCCCACTCCTGCAGCAAGGGCGCCCACGCGGAGAGGCGGCTGAAATGGAGACCGACATCGCAGGCAAAGGGGGGTTCGCCCCAGGCCCTTCCGCTGCCCCGCTGCCGGCGCGGGCGGAGGCGGCGGCCGCCGCGGCGCTGCCCTG